GGACCTGCCCAGAATTATCTGGTGCGCTCGGTGAGGTTCGATTCGACACTGACTGTTCCCGTTGGTTCACTCACGTAGATGCCGGAAGCCACTTTACCAAAAACTTTGACAAGTGATTTTTGACACTGTTTGACACATACGCGCACACTTCCGGTGCATACCGGGAAAATTAAAATTTGAATTTTAAATTTACTGTTGGAATATTGTTTCCAACACCATCTAGCCATTCGCCCCTCCGTTTTCAAAAATAATATCCTAAAAAAGTATATTTCTGGGTTTTCTATTTTTTTTTTTTTTTTAAATATCGATTTGGTCGACTGAATTAAGTACCTATGCATGAAAAATATGAAGCTAACAGCTACATGAAGTTCGGTATGGTTGGTATTTCTTCCATCTGTTTGCTATGTCTTTCTACTCTTTCTCGATTTCTTCATCCCACCAACAAAATGCTGCACTGCACTGTGAACACTTTCTTTGATAATCATGCTGGTAATGCATTCCAAGGTTTTGAAAGTTCAGACCACTTTCTAATTTTTAGTTCAATCCTATCATGTCCTGTTTTTCTAGATATTTTAGGTTGTATTTCTCATTTTTATCCTCTTATTTTGTTTCCACGTTATCCCCTGCGATGTTACTGTCAGAGTGCCGGGGATAAATATTTTTATTTTCAGCTGGTACCTAGTAGTGGTACCACAGGTCGCGCCCCTATATGCTCTCACATCCTCTAGAATTATTTATTTCGTCGCATTTTATTTATGACTAACACGAACCAAGCCATCTCCGAGAAACGTTGTGGCTTTTTTGCTGGCAAATCCAAGGATCCTCCCCAGTAGCACACAATGTTGGTCCGATGTTGCGGATACCTACATTGGACCAATATTGTATGTTGGCCCAATATTGGCATTTTTCAGCCAACATTAGACATTTATTGGTAATACAACTTCTTTCATCATTATAATAATATATTTATCCAAGAATGGGCCAATATATGCACAAACAATATTTTTATCGGCAGCATATAGCCAAAGATTGGTTACATATTGGCAATACAACTTTTTCTAATGTTACTATAATATTGTATCCATTAATGGACCAATATGGACAGATAATGTTTTTATTTGCATTATTAAACCAATATTGGATAAATAATGGCAAAATAAATTTTTCTAATATAACAGCGATATATTGATTCTGTATTGGTAAAATATTGGAGATTTACCTTTTTCCTACATTATTATTATGTAATATGTGAATCCAAGATTGATCCAATATTGGATCCGATCCATGTTTGGCAATATCTTTTATTCATGTTTATATTTAATATTTATCCAATATTGGTGATATATAGGAGATGTACCTTTTCCATATCAATTAGGACTACCGAGAGAGGGCACCACGCGCTACTGATGGCTACAGTGACTCTATTACCCACAGTGGCGACAATTGCTGTCTTATTTTTGATTGGTTCTAAAATCCCATATATTTATATTGAAAACGCCGCCATCTTGTTCCCAACTATTGCTTATTTCAAATATGAATATATGGGATTTAGGTGAATATCCATCATAAAACAGGGAAAACGACGTATTTGATAGACCTTATAATGGTCATCAAATATGTCGATTTCAATTTTTTATGGTAGATGTCCATTTAAATCTTATATATCAATATTTAAAAGTAACAAGAGGTTGGGAACAAGATGGCGGCGGGACCTCTATTGTCGCCACTGTATGTAAAGGTTTATTTAGCCACTGTACTGATGGCCTTGCTCTTTCCTGGTGTTTGAGTTTCCTTCAAAACTGTTTCTTTGAGTTGGTGTGCTTCGCTAACAAGCTCGAAACCGGAAACCGGTCTAGTCTGCAGGTGTAAGAGCTTTGGTTAAATACATGTGTTTTTCCAAAAAAATATTGTAAATATTTCTAGGAAATATTGTAAATAGAAATATTTCATATTTATTAATTGTTAATATTGGAGAAATGTTTATATTCAATATCGGATTCATATAAAAAGTATACATTGTACCAATCTGAAAAACAAATATTGGGTATAATTCTAAAAGCAATATTACATGTTTATTAATTATCAATAATGGGACAATGTTTTTCTTCAGTATCGGATTCATATTTACAATATATATTGGACCATTAAAAAAAAATCTGTCGTTTCCATTCTTGGGCCGATATGTAAATATAATATTTTACCAATATTGTTGTGCTACTGGGGCTGTCTTTCTCCATTAGACCATCAACTACTAGAAAACTGTCGGCAAGATTCTGAGATAGATTTATGTATATCTGAAGAAGTTTTGAAACTCAAAGATTCGATTGACTTTCTTTGTATAGAGCAATCTTCTAAGATAAAAATGAGGGAGCTTCGGTCACAAAATCTTATCCAGCGTCTCCAACCGTAGCCAAAGGTTGATTGAAGATTTGAGGAATTCAGTCAGCTTGTTTTCTGCATGTCTCCAAAGCCTTCTCCACTTCCAACACTTATGAGATGTATTATAGTCCCCTTCTTATTACGTATCCCATAGCCTAAGTGGGTGGTTTTGGACGTCGTCTTTTACTCTCAAGAAAGCCCATAAATTAATTATTGGCAATCTCGCGCGATAATTTGTTCGTTATTTACAACTTATCAGAATAATCCGGGTATAATTTATGAAACTGAAAAAAAGTCCCAGTTTTCTTAACAGACATTATTGTATAAGGTAGGTACCTACCTGTTGTAATACTGTTTTATAATAAATAATTGGACAATAATTCATTCCCAGAATTGGAAAATAGGAATTTTAAAAATTCAATAGAAAAAAGGACGATTATAGCGGAAATACATGGCAAAACGCTACTGAAGCGAGTAGATCTTCTTTTCGTGGCGAAACAGAACGTAACAAACCTGGAAAATACCAATGTCAGATTCCATTTTTCCTTGGGTGATAGATTTCTGGCAAGTATAGGCTTTAGGTATTACCTGCTCCTGGGGCCTTTGTTTGTCGCAGGCAGATTTAGGAACAGTTACATAGTATTTACTGTAAAATAACATAATTAGTCCGAAAGAGAAACAATATTTACATATTGATACTAGAATATTATGGACCCAGAATAGTAAACAATTTTAAAATGTTTTTATTCAAACAACAATTAACGAAAGTATACAAATAATTTGAATTATCGCAAATCAGAGACTCTATTTCGGATACGGAAAATATAAATAAAGAAAATAAATTGGTGAAATTTTAGTTCAAAAATTAATTTCTTAGTAAGAAGTTGTGCAAGAAAACTGAACAGTGTGTTATTTAGAAGAACCAAAATATATTGAAAAAAATCTTAAGTAGGTGTGCCATTGGCAATTGATTAGAAACTTTGCCATGGTAGGTCTATTTAATATTTTCTCAATTAAAATACTACAAGTGAGAAGGTAGGTACAGGTGAAAATTTAGGAGTTATAAAATGGTACCTACAGTGGTGAAATTTTAAGTAGACCTATCTGTGGTAATTGCTTTGATATATTACCATGGTATTTCTGCTTAATATTCACCATATTATTTTTACAACGAAGTCAGCAATATGGTATAAAGGATAATAAAGCTAAGTATCATAAATCTCGAAAGGAAACACAAAAGTTTCTATATTTCCACAATTTTATTTATTTGATGCTGTAACATATTTCAGCACACGGTGCCTTCTTCAGACGACATCAAAATATAGGTAAGCTTTTGAAAATTTTGCATGAAGTTTTATCAGTTCATGGATGTCTTATTCATGTATTTTCTACTTCATTTATTTTTTTTTATCCTGGGATCTGAGACATACATTTTTTTTTCAATTTTCATGAGGGTGACAACTTTTGAACGGTCTGAGGAATGACTTGGAATTTCACAAAATATACCTACCTGGTTATCACTTTCTTCAATATCAACAAGAGTCTATTTCCATGATTTTAGAACAGAATCTGAGACAGATTTTTTTATCAATTTCCATGAGGGTGACAACTTTTGGCTTGGAATTTCATAAAGTAAACCTGATTCTCATTTTCTTCATCATAAATTAGTCAATTTTCATGATTTGAATTGAATTGGGGGCATACATTTTGTTATTAATGTTCATGAGGATGACAAAATTGGAATGCCCTGTCTGTATGGCTTGGAACTTCACAAAATACATAAACCTGAATTTAATTTTTTTCGCCATAAAACTATTCTTTTTCCATCCTCGGCATAAAACGTGTTGTCAATTTTCATAAGGGTAACAACTTTGAAACGCCTTGTATGGCTTTGAATTTTACAAAATAATTAAACCTGATTTTTATTTTATCAAATTTCACTCAAATAAGGCTTGAATCTAGGCTTAAACTCATCACCCACAAAATTCTATCAGCCGTATGCAACATCCTCTTTTTACTTTACAAGCGATTTTGAAAGCAGTCAACTTTAAAAATTTACACTAACGAAACCAAATCATGGGGACCTATTCTTACTCGCATAATCTCTCGCAATGTGGTTGAATTTTATAAGATTTATAGTTAGTTATAGCACTTCGATCCTCGTGTAATTTTCTATGAATTTTCGATAAAAGTCAATTCTCGATCGTTCCGTACCTATCGAAAATTTTATCGAGACTTGTTTTCGCGAAAACATTAAAAATTGTGAAACTTGTGTTAAAAAGCTTTGATTATACCCAGGATTATACCTAACCACTAAAATTATTCCATTCAAAAAATTCACCCTCACCCACTTTCTAGTTTCTACTAAGTACTATTAATTTAAATATTTTATCTAAAAAGAAGGCAATTATGTGGGAAATTGCTCATTGACATCAGTAAAAACCAAAATCAAGAAGGACGTTAATTGTCACATCCTATTGCTGCTTTTAATATAACTTAGGTATAGGGGTGACCGGATGAAATTAATAATAATTAGTGTAATACACCTAGTTTAGTTAGAATGAGAATATCCTGATTTCTTTAGCCGTTAGACATGGATGCAATAAAAAATGTAATAGTACCTATTAATGAATTTTTCGCCTCCACCACTGGCAATAGTCAATGTTTACTGGATTTTATTATAAATTTTCTTTCCAAATATGGTGTCAGTAGTAAATTCGTGGACGCTCAATAAGCTCACAGTTTACAGTGTGAACTCATCAATAAAGACACTATTTATAGTTGTTGGAATTACATAAGAGAATGAGCCCAGTGCCGGACGGAGATAGTTTTTTTTAAAGAGCTTTGCTTGAATTAACTAAGCGTTTTTTTAATTAGACCAGTCAATGTTTTTGAGTTTTTGACAATTTTTTTCTAGAGACCTAGTAGATTTTTCGAGGTAAATACCCAGATATACACGGCGTGAAAAAATTCTGTCTCAGAGCTAGGAGAATGATGTAACTGAATTGAAATTTTGTAAGTCATTTGATCGGTAGTTGAGAAAGGAAAGGTACTTCTAGTTGTTCTCTCAGAAATAAAAACCCCTTTTAGTGAAATTAAAACTTCAACTTCCATAATTATTGAATTTTGACCTGTGAAACACAAAACACCGGTTTTCGCAATTTTCAAACCCTTGGTAAACTTTGCCCTTGGAGAGTACCTAACTATGAAAAAGAGAGTTTTCCACAATTTGAAACTTTTTAAATTTACCATGACTTTGTTATAATATAATGTGAAATTTACAATCGTAAATTATGAGTTAGCTAAATAAATGAAGGTATTTTAATTATTGTGAAATATTTGTAAAAAATGCTTTTTCTAGAAGTTGGAAAACAGCACAAGACAGAAAGACATAGAAGTATAGGAAGTAGGCCATATCCACCGCAAGACTAAAGGACAATTTTGTCCACTGTTATATTTTCCATACAGGGCGTTATTTAATATTAGAAAAAAAAAACTAATAATATCACAAAAACAAAACATCGATTTTATTCAAACCATTTTCATGTAATTAAAATAGGCTTGATTATTCCAGTGGCATCCAGAACCTTTTGTTAAGATAAATAAATATAGTTTAAAAAAACTAAAAAACACGCTTTTATAGTAAATTGAACTAAAAAGTGAAAAATAATTTTTAATATAAACAGAAAATATTAATGAACAAAAAATATTAGAATTATTGTGAAAAAAGCGTGGGGTGGTTTGTTCCACATTTCTCGTACATTGAGCACTCCACGCTTTTTTCATAATAATTCTAATATTTTTTATTCCTTAATATTTTCTGTTTATATTAAAAATTATTTTTCACTTTTTAGTTCAATTTACTATAAAAACGTGTTTTTTAGGTTTTTTAAACTATATTTATTTTTCACTTTTTAGTTCGATGTATTATTTTGTTGTTCATTTTTTTATTTTGAAGAAAAAACTTCAATTCTTATTCGTGTTTTGTTTATATTTTGTGAGATTATTGAAATTATGGGAGGAATGGTTGACATTGTTGACATAAAGACGCAATCAAAAATTTATGGTGTGACACCTGCAGCCGGATTACAATTTCACTAGTCGACACGAGTCGAGCGTCTCGTATAGGCAACAACAACGTTATTTCTGAGTCGCATCCTTCGGCTTCGAGCAATTAGAATCCCCACCCTGGAGTGTGCCCGAAATACTTTCTGAACGGCCCAGAGTGCGCGCACCATTTATCATTAATTATGAACGGCTAGTACGTCGCACCGGTATCACACTCACACTGAGTGTGTCATTCCTGAATTCGCCCCAGAGATTTTCAGACTTTTGCAGACATTATCCAGACTTATTCAGAGCTTTCCAGAGTTTTCCAGATTTCATCCAGATTTATCCAGACTTGTACAGACTGATCCGGATTCTGGAAAATGATCCCCAGGTCTTTTGGGACCTTTTCCAGAATTTTTCCGACCCTTTCAAGAAGTTTCCAGGTCTTTTTCAGATGTTTCCAGAGATTTCCAGACTTTTCCAGACAATATCCAGACTTATCCAGAGTTTTTCAGACTTCATCCAGATTTATCCAGCCCTTATTCAGACTTGTACAGACTGCTCCGAATTCTAGAAAATGATCCCCAGGTCTTTTGGGACCTTTTCCAGAATTTTTCCGACGCTTTCAAGAAGCTTCCAGGCCTTTTCCAGATTTTTCCAGACGTTTCCAAACTTCTCCAGACATTATCCAGAGCTTTCCAGAGTTTTCCAGACTTCATCCAGATTTATCCAGACTTTATCCAAACTTTTTCAGACTGATCCGGATTCTAGAAAATGATCCCCAGGTCAATTGGGACCTTTTCCAGAATTTTTCCGATCCTGTCCAGAAATTTCCAAGTCTTTTCCAGACGTTTCCAGAGATTTCCAGACTTTTACAGACAATATCCAGACTTATCCAGAGTTTAACAGACTCTATCCAGATTTATCCAGACCTTATCCAGACTTGTACAGACTGATCCGGATTCTGGAAAATGATCCCCAGGTCTTTTGGGACCTTTGGCAGAATTTTTCCGACCCTTTCCAGAAATTTCCAGGCTCTTTCCAGATGTTTCCAGAGATTTCCAGACTTTTCCAGACATTTTCCAGACTTTTCCAGGCTTTATCCAGATTTATCCAGACTTGTTCCAGCTCACTTGGCTTGTTCTAGGTTCTTGTTCATACACTTCCCAAGAGTCCAAAAGTTCGCACGCATTCCTATGTGCCCGTGCGATAAACATTTTCAATGTTACTTACAAACATACAAACATACAGGTGAAGCTAATAATATAAGCGTGTTAAAAAAGTACGTAAATGTCCAATATTTTCCAGAACCTTGGGTATTATAGGTAATCTTAAATTTTCATACATTTTTGTTAAGGAACGAGAATAAATTTTTGCATTTTTTTGCTCTCGTAGGCGAAATTAAGCTACTATGCGTCAAAACTAACGAGAGAAAACGAGACGAGACGACAAAAGAAAGTATCAATTTATTCATTGATGCTTTAAAAGGTGCACAAATGGCTTTACGAAAAATGATTCCTGTTTTATTTATTTCAGTTTTGGTACTAATAAAAGTAGTTTGCGCTTCAACAATAATGGTTAGCCTATTCTTTATCCGCTTCACAACGAAAGACTCATCGAACCCTCGAGACAAGACGAAGGAGAGTGTATTCTCGTCTTGTCTCGTCTCGCGACATCACCAAAAAGGACTCACCGATGTATCATGATCCGATGTATTCATTTTGCTGCCGCTCTTGTCTTTGAGTTTACCGCAAGTTCTCTTTATCTCCTTCTCCAGTTCTCTCTGACTTCTTCTCAGACTGTTTGACTCGCGGGGACGTCCCGAAGACACATTATTAAACCTCGTTCTCAGAGCTACGTTCTGTCGCTGGCGACAGCATTTTGACCAATAGAAAGACGAGGACAACACAAACTGTTACAAGGAATTGTAGATGTGTCAGATAAATTTCATTTTATTCAATAATAGAAAAATCAAATCAAAAATCCGGTTTTCACTGTTTAGTTTTCTGACAGACACGCGAACCTTATTTCCAGCCTTTTATCTATCACGCTTCAGTTATCAGAACTGCTTGGGAATAAAAATCTCTGGTCGTCCAGTTTTCGGAAGGTTCATAGGGATATCCTGTTCGCATTCACCTATACATATTTCATTACATGGTCCTTTTTTATCGTATTTCAAATTTGTATATAGCATTTTTCGCAAAGCTATCTGAACCTCAGTTTGTAGCCTGGAACAATCCAACTTTTGTTGTTATCAGAGTTTCGCTTAGGAGCCCCTTGAAAATTTTCCATTATTATTGGAATAATTGTTTTTTAAAATTTCATCCCTATTATAAGAACCTTGAAGTTTTACCTAATTAATTTTTTTAGTATAGTTTAGAAATACATGATTATCATTAAGAGAATATGCTGAGCCTCACGCTGATCCAATAATAGGATTGCTAACACGGTTGCTAATCAAGCCCAACCACATCTTTCTATATTTATGTCCCCGTTGTAGGAGTTTCTTTTCAACGATGAAAAATCTATGCAGGAGCTTAAAAAAGAATTACCTTTGACTTTCAAATGCAATGAGTGAGGTATGTAACCCGGGTAACCCCTCCAATCATTCTATCAATTAACAAGTTTTATTTATTGACTTGAATCATATTTTATAACAACAACCTTTATCTGTGAAACTTAGCCTTATCAAAATTTTGTAGTTTATATTGACTGAAAGTATTTTTAGATTTTCATGCACCCAACAGTGCAGACACTTGCAGGGATAATGCAAACTGCACAACGTAATCCATTTGCATACAAGTTTCTAAGAGTGACAAAAACATTCAATTTGAGAATTTAGCATTTGTTTATTTCATTACACAATGGAATTCGCGAATTTTCGCGATCGGGTTCGTGAACAATCTCGCCGGCGTCTTCGCAATAATACGTTTTCGTACCAATATTCCGAAATGTCAAGATCGAATTTACAAATTGAAATGAATAATATGAAAAAGTTACAGATATAAATTTCAGTGAAGCAGCACCCTTCCAAAAAAGATTAATCCTGGTTGTTAATTTAGACCCTCCCTCCTGGTGGCCGATCCTCGGGCCAGGGAGTGGAACTCCCCGAGAGAACAACATTTTCGTCCTTATCATTCTCGTTTACTTTCCGATTACGTTGACAAGGACAAAACATTCGTTCTATCGGGGAGCTCTACTCCCTGGCCCGAGGATCGGCCACCTGGCTGGAATCTATTATAAAACAATTTTCAACTAACAGCTTATGCCTGTGCCCACATACATGGCGGAAGTATAATAAATTTGTAATATTGCGACTAGTAAAATTTGGGGTGGTCATAATTTTATTTTTTTCATATGAAAAATCTTAAATAATTGACCCTAATCTGTGAAAAGTTCAGATTGCTAAAGGCTTGCACATGTAGTTAAGAAATTTTGCTATGCTAATACATATTTGGAAATCATCTACAATATAAAAAGGATAACGAAATCAAACGAAATGCACCAACTAGCTGAATCCAACAGCACCATGGCCTTCGTTCAGGCTACCAAGATGGTATACGGACCAACCACTCAAGGACTCAATCCCTCACGATCCAAAGATGGCACAAGACTGCTTAAAGACCGTTCTTCCATTAATTCTAGTTGGAAGGAACACTTTCAGGAACTACTTAACAGATACTCATAAATTAATAATGAC